CCTCTCAGCGAATATCCGGATAATGCGCCCTCCAATTACTCCGTGGAAACTTTGGCGACGTCCAGTTTGGACGGAGTGAAGGAGCTGCATCCTGATTTTCATTTTTAGCTCTGTTACGGGGTTCCTAACCCTCCGAAATATCTTATCTAGATTTTTTCTCCAATTTCAAATCCTTGAACAACCCTTAAACTCCAACCCTTTGTATTTTGAGAAATTTGCACGTATGGACGCCTTTGACCCAAATCTGCTTTAGTTCATGAGACAGTGCCTGATTTCCTTCCATGTCTTCTTTTTTTAACAGAGAGCTATGGAGCATCCTTTGAAATTAAGGAATTACTAGTTAAACTCATCGCGCCACGCTAGGTGAAATCTAATCAAACTTTTGCCTGCGTGCAATCGTGACATTCGGGAGAGATACCACTATTCGATCACGCGGGAACTCGTATTGCCTACACTGAAAACTGAAGGCGCGCCACGCTTGATGAGTTATTCCGGCTGTCATCTGTCTGCATCAGGAATCTTTTCAACCAAACACATCTCTTAGCATTATGACGCCTTCATCAGTCATCATGATGCGAGTATGAAATTTGTTGCCCATGGCGAAGTGGTAAATTTTCCGCGTGACTTATATGCCTCGTATGACAATAGTCGGTTCAGTGCTATGTCTCCACCTGAATCAGATTCGGTTTAGGATCCAAACGCAGCGCGGAAAAAAAATAAAAACGCCCTCACAAACGCAGGAAGAGTTCCCACTTAAATGTAACGAAAGAGAATCGTTAATTTTATTGCCGAGGCTCGTAAAATGATGTGAAAATATCGCGCGGCTGCTCAGCCGCAGCGCGAATCATAAAACTTCATTAGTTATCATTTGCTCTCCTCGTTTCATTCCCCTCGCCGCTCAGTGGAACGAGACATCGGGAGAAATCGGACACGAAATTTTCGAAAAAACTGGAATTTTTTACGTTTACTTCGTGACATTATACATTTTAAGGAGTGCTCCTGGTGGGAAATTTTTCAAGAAAAACAATGGAGCTATTTTTAAACCTATTCCTTTACTATTGTCGAATTTATAAGCTTTTAGAGTTTCCACATCGTGACTGCTCTCTCTCTCTCTCCACCGTGCGTTCTCCTCCTTTGAGAGGAGATCGACACCCCGGCATGACTTAATAAAAGGCCCTGGTCGACCTCCTGACCTGTGGTTTTTGTTGGCGAGATACGCTTAATGAAGAGGAGGGTCGTAATTGCAAGCCCCTCCCACAACTCTCCGATTCTACCATTTTATGACGACTGTACTCGAGGGTGGGATTTCCAAGTTGGTCTCGGTGCGCATTCCTCGGCCAATTTTTAAAAATTTTTGCACTTGACCTGTTTTACAACTGGTGTTCACCTCATCAAATGAACCCACTTGAAAATTCAGAAATGACCGACTTAATTATACCGGCTCAATCCATATTTCGCGAGAAATATGATACCTAATGCCACTTCTTGAGCCCAGAATCCTATTCCGAATATATCACAAAATGGTTCTTTGATATTGCATTGTTCCACCTTCTAAACCAAATCGTGGCGGAAAAAAGTCGTTTCTTCTTTGATAACATTTCTAGCACGTACGTGAATTGTCTAATTTCTCATCATTTTTCTTTGATTCACCATGGGAGGTGTTAAGGTGATTCGATGGACGCCATATTTTGTGTCAGAACGGCATGCGATATATCGCATCAATCGGTTCCATTTTTTCAGCTACTCGTCATTTTTCTCCAATTTTGAGATCGCAATTCTATTGTCAGGAGACTAAAGCACTCACTTACCAATTTTAAGAAGGAAATTCAAATTAATAAAGGCGTGGTTTTTTTAGAGAGAAAATATCGCATTCGAGTGCAGTTTCGATATCAGTATCGAATGCGATATTTTCTCTCTAAAAAAACCACGCCTTTATTACGTTGAATTTCTTTGTTAAAATTGGTGAGTAAGTGCTTTAGTCTCCTGACAACAGAATTGCGATCTTAAAATTGGAGAAAAATGACGAGTAGCTGAAAAAAATGGAACCAATTGATGCGATATATCGCATGCCGTTCTGACACAAAATATGGCGTCCATCGAATCACCTTAAATAATTTTCGTCCTAAAATTTCATTGGACTCCTCTCGTAGGTAGGATCCGTCGAATCTTGACGTGTGTTTTCAATACGTTACAAAGGTAGGCTCAGCCATTACAAACGGAAAGAGGAGGGGCAGCGTACACTACTAACGTGGTGAACGCTCAAAAACCCAGAGATTTTGGTTCGTTTTTAATATTGTATCATAATTAACGTGCCCCTTTCAGTACGGAAGTATTACACTGTAGAGCGTTTGATTTGTGAAAGTGCAACCGAATGATAGATAGGTAATTCCGAAGCTTACATTACGAGGAAAATTAGTTGGAGTCACCTTTTCATGCGACACAACTCATTTTTGATTGATGAAAAATCGAGGAGAAAATAACGCAAAGCGAAAGCAAAACTGTCCCGGGAACTGCTGAAACCAGCTGATTTCCCGTTCTCGAATCCGGTCTGCATTGATAAGTCAGCGATTCTGGAAGTGCACGTTTGAGTGCGGGTAGACGCGCGGCTGTCAGAAAAATACGCGGAAGATGTAACTTTCATCAAGTAATTGGTTTTCCATTCATTTGCTGTCATGAACGTCGCGTCGCCGTTCCTTGTCGCACGAACCTTCGTGAAAACTGAGACTTTCTAGGAAGAATCTTCCCCGCTGCTCGACCTTTGAAAAGACGTTCCCTCCACCTCTGCCTGTTAAGGCAAAACGTCGCACGTACACTCAAACGCTGCAGAATTTCTTAACCGCCCCCCCCCCCCAAAAAAAAATAGCGAATCTGTTGCTCACAAGATACATATAAAATAAATCATGAAAATAAAGATGCATGAAAATCATGAAATGCAAGAAAATAAAGAATGACTTGTGTCGTTCCTGAGAAGGAAGTAATTATAAAAAGCACACCTAAGAAGTCTGAAATCTTTTCGAAATAAATTTGAATATGAACACCCTAGATTTCGAGAAAAACGAGTCAGTAAAAGCTGTTCCAGATGGAAAACTGGCGGTCACATATGGATTCCACCAAAATAAACTTAAATGTGGAAATAAAAGATGACTTGCTACGGTTCATTAGAAATGATAATCAGAAGTTTGTAAAATCATTACTAGAAGATCTCTGACCCCTTACATTATCATTGTTTGTCAAAGTTTGTTCTTCCGTTCTGCTCAGCTGACTTTCATGATTTTTGCGATTTTTGCAGGTGATAGTCCATATAAACCCGCTATATTCAAATCTTGTAAAAATGACCCAGGTTTTTACATATAACGGGAAAAAGTTGTGATCAATTATCCCATTGAAAAAATGTAATTTGCCATTTTTACCACAGTTCGTTCTGAGAATATACCAAGCTCATTTTCGTGAATTTTGCGGCTATAGATCCCTAGATGATCCTGGTCTTCTTATAGGTTCACCCACGGTAGCCCACTTAGATGAGCGGAGCGCCATCTGCGGGTTGCGCTGCATAGTGGCAAGGGGGCTGAATTTCTAGGAAAAACATTCATAACTTTCCTGAAATTTGGTGTTTTGCCGGAAAAATTTGGCAACGTGGCAATGGAAGTACGGCGTTCTTGCGTAGCACCGCAGAGTTAGAGATGTCGCGTTGCTTCGTCGCGAAAATATCGTGCGCTTAAGCATTTATGCACGATGAACACGTAAGATGGTAACAAGGAGCACAGGAGCACACTTATTTCTTCGCTGGGAACCCTCCGAACAATGACTGGTGCTTATACGATACACGTTGCAACGGTGACACAACAATAGCGTTTCCTCTGAATAATTTGTCTCCATCCCAAGTAGTTTTACGCTCAATATATGATGCTCAATTCTCCCTAACTACATTCTTGCCAGTCTGCCTATCTGCACATTTCTGCATAGTTTTGTTGGATGAAATAGAATGATTATCCTATATATTAAAACACAAAGTTCCGAATCTTTGGACATTAACTTTGAGTGAACCACCGTACCGATTTGCCTGATCTTTTTTTAAAATGAAAGCCCCTGAGCTGTATAGATTTTCAGGCTGTAATTTTTTTCTCGATTTTCTCAAATTTTCTCCTATAATTTTCTCAAATTTTCTCCAATGTATTAAAACTGAGGTCCGAATTTTTGGACGTTAAATAGACTCAACTAATTGCTCCGATTCCAAATAAGCCACTGCACCACCATTGCTAGCTGTGGAGGGCGCCCAACGGGCGCCCTCCACAGCTAGTTAAAGGTTAATATTCTCCTTTTGAACACAATGATCGTTTGCACCTTTTTGATTTGAACATCATCTATTAAAAAACGCAGATATATTTCACTTGAATTTGAAACGAACGGGATCCCCCATCATTAAACTAACATAAAAGTGTATTTGTGTTTGATAAATTATAAATTTGCCCTAATAGTTTCGACACCTCTCTGTTTCTGTGTTATTTCCAACCTTTTTTTGGATTTACGTTCTATAAGAGCGTTATATCGTCCAAGAATTTGTGCTTGCACTGCGCGCATGGGAAAAAAGAAAGTTAGCAAAGCCTAAATCTGTGTAAAACATATTTTCCTAAAATGGCACTCGTCACGAGGTAGCATTTTCGACATAATTTCCGCAACGATCGCACGAAAATTCGCAATTTCGGACTTTTTCAGTTGTGCGAGAATTTGTAGATTCTGATGAAAAATTTCAGTGTGCCGTAAAAGAAATCCGATCTTTGCACTTTTCAATTTTACTTTTTTCAAGTTCGTATCAGTTTTGTGCATTAAGGGGAGAATCCCTAAGTTAGCACTTAGTGATCAATCAACGATCTACTTCAAATGCCATATTTCTGTTGTGATTTGCGTAAAACGGAAAGTTATGCCTTAACTGAAGTTTGTTGGCAAATTTGAATTATGTAATGAAGATTCTAATCAGCCTGTTCTTGGCTCTTTTGTTGAAGGGTGCTCTTAAAGAGGTCAGACTATTCAGCTCTGCTGACGTCACTGAAGAATTATGTCCTAAATATTTACAGGTAAGACATATTTTTTTCTTACTTTTATTAATTTACTTTATTCTACTTTTTATTCATGGATTTATTGCTTGCCAATGATTAGCAGTTGTAGAGTATATAAATTGGTAACGGGGATTTTTTTGATAATGAAAGGTGATGGGTGATTTTACTGGAAACTTTGTCTTTTTTTAAGAATGGCGATAATTCATTTTATATTCCTTACTCACTCTGTAAGAGCGGGATGGAGTTATATCGGCATAAGAGTAAATCGCACTGCTTCGTCATATTAAGTGAGATTTTTGAGAGCAATGGGCCAATTGCGTCGGTCACAGAATCGTGTTTGGATGGTTGAAACTTATAAATTGCAAAAAAATTATAAGATCTGTCCGAACGTCAAGCTTCTACGTCGAATAATGACGGAGATATCGCTCTTCGAAAAACACTATGAATGGCACACCATGGTTTCTCCCACCTTGGTTTCATCCGTGTTTTACGTTAAGCAACCATTGCAAATGTGTATTTCACTGATTGACGAAACCAGGGTGGAAGAAACCATGGCATGCGCGACTGTGGCGGATGGTATCATACGCTGTGTTTTTCCATGAGCGATATCTCCGCCAATACCAATTTGGCGTAAAAACTTAGCATTTGAGAGGATCTTATAATTTTTTAGCCAATCTTTAAGCTTAACAATTCTATGGATAAAGCAACTGAGAGCTCATTATTGAAATTGATAGACAAAGCAAAAGACCAAATAGACGATGGGGAAAGGGAGAGATCCTAATGGTGGAAGCGGGTGGTTGCAGTAATGGACAGAGGAGGTGACTAGTAGACTAGTAGACTAACTAAAGGACTCACGAGGGACCCCATAGTTAGTCCATAATTCTCCCTTATTCTATATCAATCCAGAGTGAGTCGGAGTTTTGAAACATCAATAAAACCATCAAGTGAACGTGTCGGAAGTAGCGGGATGCATAAAACGCGTTTACTCGTGTTAGACACATTTTTTGCGAAAGCCCTGTCAACTTTACTAGCAAAAGTTCACGGAACTTTGCGTGAAAGTTAAGTCCCGTAAACCTATCTCTTTGTGGACAAGGCCTTGCATTTATAAGCATCCAACGAAAAAATTAAGAAAAAACAAACATAAATATGGTTTAATAATTTTAACTTCCGCCACCGCTCCGCGCTGACCGCACTGTATTTTGCGCAATGCGGGAAGTACTCCTACAGTCTTGTAGGCGCTATTCGTTTCACGCCGACCGCTGCTGACCGCACTGTGTCTGACGCAATGCGTGAAGTATTCATGCAATCTTGTAGGCGCTAATATGTGTTACATGCCGGCCGCCGTGCCGAGGGCTTCTCCTTTTCATTTCAAGTCCTCGTCATCATTCCTCTCTGCGCTGAGCTCCAGGCCAAATTGCGAGTTTAGTCCCTCTCTTAACTCTACCAATTAAAGATGATGTTTCTTGTATCGACGAAAAACAACAAAATTAGAAATGACTTTACTCTCAGGAAAGAGAGATTTTGTTCCATTTTCTCATCGATAATTTTTCTTTCTGAATCCCATTTTTTTTGTACGTACATATAAAGGAATTGCACAATTTGCCGCCCCCTAAATTTGCCGCCATGGGCCGCGGCCCATGTGGCCACCCCCTTAATCCGGCCCTGTTGTGTATACATTTCAATAATCTGCCCGTTGATCCATTAAGGCTCCGGGGGAAAATGCACTCAAGCTGTAACTTCGAGATTTTCAACAGTGTAATGAGTGAATTTTTCTATCATTCTCGTTGAGTCTGGTCCGGCGCGATGATATCCGTGGAAATTTGTCAAATTGGCCAATGAGTGGACTGCGCGAATTGGACAAGAACACGCGATGACGTCTGACGGAGGCAGCTAGTGGCATGAGCGCAAAATCAATTTTGCGCGAGCGCGCGCCGCCGGGGTGGCCAAATCCTTTTTCCAGCGCGTGGAATAAATAATTCAAGGCGACACTTCCGGCTTAGGAGTAAGAGAGAAAAATCGAGAGAAAATCTAATTCGAGGCTCCCAGGGAGGAGCAAGAGTTTAAGTCCTTCCGTTTACAAAGGTTTACGATATTGGCCCGACGGTTTCTCATTGAGTTAGCGGAGTTATCTTCTGCCGGCTTTTTCCTCCGACTGCGCCCCAATCTATCTCGGATAAAAGGCTGCATCATTTCAAGCGAAACATATAAAGAGGACCTGTCAAACCCACCGGATGGTGGTTCACTGCCACCGCTGCATCTTAGCGCCGCGCCATCATGCAACCCGCCCAGCACTGAATCCAGCCTTGCCGATTTTTACTACAATTCGAGTATTTTGTATTTTCTCCTCTTCCAAGAAGGATGCTGTTGAGTAATTTGGACCGCGTTTAGCAGAAAGGAACCAAGCCACATCAACTTTTGCCAAATTTAACTGATGCCCTTAAATTCTTAACAAGAGAACGTTCGTGCGGATTCCTTTGAAAATTTTACGGAATTTGCTTCAACCTGTGCAGAAAATCCACTGAAAGTTTCATAAAAATTCACACAACTGTTTTCATGTAAAAAATTAGATTGCTAATTAAATTTCGCAATAGCTGATGTGGCTTGGTTCCTTTCTGCTTAAAGCGGTTTATTTTATAGTGAGATCGTGAGATCCATTTCTGAATGGCTCAGCTGTATGAAGCTGTTATTGGTCAAAAAGAATGACGGACGTTGCATAAAACGTCCGTCACGTTGCAAACGTTTGCAATAAAATTAATGCAAAAAAAAAACAAACAAAAAATAGAATTAGGGTCATAGAACCTAATCACCTGTTTTTTGTGGCTTCGATTTTTCGCAGAAGAGTATGTGGACCCAGCTTCATTCAACCACCCTGTTACAGTATTCGGGACGTACTCTCTAGTTTACCTGGACTGAGAACTTCAATGCTCCACATGAATTGAAGTTGTTTTTTTCCTGTTTGAATAAGAAAATGGGGAATTCTAACTGAATTGGCAACATTGTACCGCGATCGAACTTTCGAGCGGTCCTTGATTAAGAGCAAATACAAAACAAAACTCGAAGCCGCGTCTAGCCTGAGAATCACTCCTCAATGTTACGTTCGTACAACCCCTTCGGTCTGTGTCCCACGAAATCGCATACCTTCATGGGTTTCCGACTGTTGCAAGTTACGAGCAGCTGTCTCTGAGAGGTAACTTCGTCAATAGTTTTGTCCTACTGAAGTTCTGTAAGTTGACCTGGAAAATACATGTATCGGTTCCCGGTAGAAGGTTGTGAGTCCAAAATTTCAGAAGGGCACTTACACGTTTTCCAAGAATGAGAATTTTATTTTTTGTTTACGTACATAAAAGTCGTTCTCATCGCGCTCTTTGGCCCTCCACGACACTTAGCCGCCAGAGACTCCTATTTTTCCAAAGCCCTTAAGGGAGCTAGTACCCCCCTCATTTTTTCTGAAACCCCCTGTCGCCACTCTTGCATTGAGCGTCCTCTTCGTCTCCTCCCAAGAGAGACCCAATCAAGCATCTTCTTCGGGAGCCTTTCTTCCATTATTTTATTAACATGACCATGCCAGAAAAGCTGATTGGTCATGACGTCAGAGACGATGTCATCGTGGCCTCCATGATCTTACGCTTTCTATAATTTTTTATTTAATTTTTAAAAAAGAAATACGTTCAATTTTTATATTTATCTGAATGAATATTGCCGGTAGAGTTCAAATCATCTTGAAAATCAACCAGAGTATGCGGATGTAATGTAAAAAAGACTAATATTATTTAAGGGATGGAAATCAAAGCAACCTAAGTTTCATTCGATTTTGTAAAAGCCGTGAATGAAACTTATCGTAGTAAAACGAGTCTCTTATTTTTACTCTTTTTAGTATGATATATTTCTTTCCATATTTTTTGTCATAATTTTTGAATTTAGATTTCGGAATTGTAATTCTTTGACCTTTAGATTGCTATTCAGTATTAAAAAAAATGTAAGTCTCCAAAGCAGTCTCCGATCGCACTTTAAGATAATTTGAATATGAGATATTTTCTTCATTCGTCTAACTTCTAGCAACGTCTTCACTATTTTTCTTCACTTGCACTTTTCGCCAACCACTCCCGGACCATTCATAGCGTCAAGCTATTGACCAGACGTAATCTCTTTGGCCACTCTCCAAGATGCTGCTCAAGACAGGTTACAGTGAAATTCATTGAGCGCTGCGCCAGCACCTTAAATTACGCTTAAAATAAATTCGACATCCCTGGCTCATAAAATAAGCGCATCTAAATGATAAACTAGAGTTAATCAGTTTTATTGTTGCCGATAAAGTATACGCTCATTTTTCGGTGAAGACTGCTCCTCCGAAATGGCGTGTCGCTCGGTAGGTGTGTGTTTACGCAAAAACAGGCGCGAGGCTGATGGCTCGAAAACACGTAAAAACGCATCGTATCTGCAGCGATCTTAATTGGACCGCGATCGGGCGTAAAAAGTTATGTGCACCGACACGATAAACGCCATCATTTGGCTCATTTTTACGCTCGCTCCTGTCCGCATTTGTCTAGTGCGCCCAGATGTGGCCCGGGAAATCCTCGTGGGAAATTTCTCACGCGTCGACGTGGCATCACTGCGTGCAACGCCATGCCAAGGATGAATATGCATACCGCTCGTCTCTTTAATCGCGCCGGACTCCGCGGAGGTGGCGAGTCCGGGATTTTTTGCATTTGTATCGCCCCGCGAGAATGTCGTAAATACCCGGATTAATTTTACGATCGTTGATCGATTTTTGCAGCTGTGTCGAGCTCACGGACGCGGTGAGTCCATGCAGTTGTAGTTAGCGCACAGATGTGAACTCGTACACATTCCAAAATTAGTCCGTTGTGGAAATGTTGATGCCTGGTCCGGACTGTCATAAAATGTGATGGGGTCAGGAATACGAGCATGAAAAGCTGAAGGGTTTTTAACCGGGCCACATTTTTCTTACGATAGGGTTCGGGCCATCTTCGTTTTTTTATGGAAAGCATAAACACATTCGG